CATTCTTTATCTAGATTCTTTTATAACACATTTTTAGACAATTTTTTTGTCTGAAAATATGCTGTAAACTTGTATCAAACTCTTAAATATCATACGTAGGCAGCCTTAAATAGGTTTGTGAGGTTGCCTTTTTTATCTTTTATTCTTTATTTTAATTTTTTCTACCAATTCTACTCCTATCAGAGAGAGAAGAACATTAATTTCCTTTATTTTCTTAAGAAAATATGTTTGAACTGAAGTGAACTCAATATTCTTCTTATGATAATGTTTTTCTCAAGTATAACCGATACAAAAGAAAAATTAGCTGATTTTATACCATTGCCTTTAAAGTTGGTTTAATTTGGAATACACTGAATTTGGATTTAGGTTTAATGAATTATTTAAGAATTAAATTTATATAGTTGCAGTTTTTATTTTCCTTCTCATTCTGTTGGTTGATTATTGTTTCCCTGAAGTAGAAGTTTAATTTTTTAACACCTCTCCAGCTGACAGCATATTGTAACGTAGTGAGTAGATAACAAACAAAATATAGTCACAGCCTAGTTTTAAAATTAAAGAATTATTTATTTGCTTTTCAGGTTACTATATATGAAGCAATAAAGTCCGTTATACGCCAAGCCAGTGCAGTCAGTCTATATCACGGGAGATCAATCCTTTGTCCGAAAGGACAAATCTCTCTCAACAATGGATTCCAGTTCTCCAACGCCATCGGCGTTCATCGTTTCTCCTCTCTTTCTGCTCCAATCTCTATCCTCCACCGTTCAAGTCTCTTTTTTCCAGGACTGTCCTCAAGTTCTCTCCATCCAGGGTTCTCTTCTCGTCTCCTAAAAAAATCCCCTTTTAAACACCAGGGGTGAGTCCACAACACGCCCCTCGTCTCTTTTCATTGGCGGGCCAGAAAAGTCTGCCCTCGTCCCCGGGCCACATTCGTGTCCTATTTGTGTGGCACACACAAATACACTCCTGGTCCGTCTGGAAACTAAGGGCGCCATCATTCTTGTCCAACATCTGGACATACTTGTCCATTACACCACCTGTGTTCTATAGTCCCATTCTCTCGACACCGGCCGAGGTGACATGATTCTTTTAGACAGGCTTCGCCTATTGTCAATGGGGTTTCGGCTCTCTTTTGGCCATTATGACTGCCAGACTGGGTGTCGGCGTTTGCCCGAAGTCAAACAATAAACCATGACCTCATGGCCTCGTCCACTTGTCACATAACATCTGATCGGAGCCATAAAACTTAGTGCGAATGGAAGGGTGGGGTTCACCCCAATCGAAGACGTCACAATATATTTCAGTTTGTTTGAAAAAAAATAATTTAGTTCTTAGACTGTCTCATTAAAGTTTGTATTTGTGAAAAATTTTTTAAATTTAAAAAAAATGTGTTTCTAATGGAACTTTTGAGTTTTCTATTTGGGCCACGGTTTCTTATAGTTGGTTAATTAAATAGATGAACTCTACAAGTTGACCTTTGAAATGTTAATGAGTGATTTCAAAAGAAATATTGGCAACACAAAGTAAATGTTTTCACTCGTTTCTTCAATACTTGACACATGGCAATATTTCTATAAAATGTTTTCTTGAATCAATGTAAATGTAAGTTTGATGAAAGGAATTACAAGCTGATTCAAAATTAGTGTGACCAATTTTAAAAGTATATAATTATTTACAGTAAATTTTAATTACCTTAATTCCAGATATATTTTAAAAACGAAATGTTTAAGTTACCAATCTAACTATTTTTATTAGTGAGAGTAAATTATGGATCCGAAATTAGATCCTCGAACCCGAAACAAAATTTTAAAGCTTTTGAAGGATGGTTGTTCAAATTCTGTTATAAATAATGCATTTAAAAATATGAAAAAGACATTTTTCTAATGGATTACTATCTAAACTTTGAAAAGAAATTAAATTTAGCTGGCAACCAAAAGCTCCAAGAAAAAAATGTGGACAAAAAAAAAAAAAAAAAAAAGCTGAAAAGATTTATTGTTGTAGAAAACCCTCTGTCTCAAAGAACTTTAGCAAAGCAGCTACAGGTATCGCAATCAACAATTTGTCGTGTTACAGAAAATTGGCTCTAAAAATGAACAAACCAGTCTGTTGTTATCAAATGTCTACAAGATCGTAGAAATACGAAGAAAACACTCGTGGCTTCTGTATTTAATGTTACGCAAAGGTAGATACAAAACATGGATAATTTCGCGTGAAGCTCTGTTTCATCTGTCATTCACAACTGAAACGCGAAGATACAATATATTTCTCGCGAAAAGACGTAGCTGTTTTACTAAAGGCCAGGCTGGCTGCCAGGTGTTACGGTATGGTTGGGAATGTCCTCTCAAGTGTTAACAAAACCCTTTTTTGTAGAACCAAAGGTTAAAATTGTTACGAAATACTATGAGAATAAAGTTTTGAAGCACATGATCTAAAAAAGTAAAAGTCTTCGCCTTCAATGAAAATTTGTTTTTCACAAAGATTCTGCACCAAGTCATACATCAAAATCTACAATTAAATGGCTCAAAGATAAAAAAAAATCCTCCTCCTGAAAAATAACTACCACCATTCCCAACTTGATCCTTGCGATTAATTTTTAGGGGGATACTTAAAAAAACATCCAATTAAACAGGTGTAAAGTAAGAACACTTCAAGGGCTTCAAAAAGCAATCAAAGAGGAAGTTGGAAAAATACCCTAAAAATGATCGAAAATGCTCTTTTGACATGACCTAAACATTTACGTAATGTGTACTATGCTAAAGGAAACCACACTGAGAAAATTTCATGTAAATAGCTTAATTAAATAAGAATTTATGATACTCTGAAATTGGTCACATTATTTTTGAATCAACCGGTAGAATTTTAATTTCCATGCTGTACATTTTTTTTAGAATTTTCATTTCTTCATGTTTCTTGATTTTTATGTTTCAAAGAAGTTTTCTACTCAGATGTAACGTATCAACATACCTTTTAGCAGGTGTATTGTTTGTTTTCATGTTCTGAGCCAAAGGCTGTTAACAGAGCTCCTTTTTCTTGCTCCTTATCTTCATTTATGAATATTTATGCTGCACTCGGCATTTCCTGTAACAAAATTGTTGTTGACTGTCCTTGCGGTTGCTATCAATTACTCGTTTAAGTAGTAGCATTAGTAGCAATCATTTGCAAAATAACAATTGTCTTAATACTTAAAGATTTTATGATTATAAACTGTACAAATGTAAGGAATTCTTGTTATAAAAAATCTGATTCTTCACTATATCAATCGTTCCAAGTAGGAATTTTCAGAGTATTTAAAATATTTTTTGGGAAATATGAGTTATATATATGGGGAATTTCGATAACTTTGTGACGGGCTCACGCGTCTTTTCTTTAACATAACCTCTGGGTTCTTTGACGGCCAAGA